TCTTCCTCTCCCGTGCCTCCCGTTTTCGGCGCAGCCGCTCTGCTCGGGGCCGGATCTGGTGGACAGGCAGTGGAGGCAGGACTACTTGGCTCTTGGCCCTCTTGTCCTGCTGACCTCGTGCATCCAGCATGCCGTCGGGCGACTTTTTCAGCACTAGGCACCGCCATTGTTGGTCGTCGTACTCGGGGTGTTCTTTCAGCCGGTGCCCCCGCCGGATCTTCTTGTACGTAATTGTGTTTTTCGAGAAAGGCTGGCGGATGTCGCACACTGGGCACGTCCATGCGACCTTGTCGTCGGGCACGTCGTGGGACAGAAGCGGCACTTCCGCTGAAGGTCGGTACTTACCAGCGTCCTGCCAGTTTTCCCCAGGGTGCCATTTCCGTAGGTGCTTCGCCCGCTCGTGGGTGATGTGGTAGTTCGGGTGGACTTTCCGTGTCTTCCTGATATGTTTCTTTCCCTTGCCTTTCCAACTCCATCCCACGGCGTGGGGCACGGTGTTGACAGGTGCCGTGATCGTGTCGCCACACAAACCGCACGTCCACGTTAGGCGTGTAGCTGCGTCGGTGCATGTGATTGTCTTCTTGGGAGGTTGTGGTCTGGTGTTGCTGCTGCTGCCGCTGGCCCGGGCCTTCGGTGTCGCCTTGCTGCCATTCGCGGCCCCCTTCGGCGTCGAGCATCGGGTCGGAGTAGCTTTGGGCGCAGTCGTTGCTGCGCTCCGCGCAGTGCGCGGCGTGGTAGGAGTGGATCGTCGTGTCGTACGTGGAGTCGCTGTGGGCCCCAGGTCGCCGAGCCACGAGTCCGGCGCGTCGGGTTGCTTGCGCTTCCTCGAAGACCGTGCCCGGGCCAAGGTCGCCATCCAGGAGACCTCGGAATCGGAATCTCTGTCTGCTTTCCGTGTAGAGCCACCGTGTCGGCATATCTTGCGGATGCGTTCCTCGAGCTGTGCCTTGCTCGGTCGTTTGGTTTCCTTCTTGTGCCTGGCGCCGTCGTCTGGCAGTAAAATGTAACAGTGGTCTTTCCACAGGCCCACGTGGAGGGGAGGCTGCAATAGTGCTGTTCGCTGTGCGTCCGGAGACTGTGGGATCCAAGTTACCTTGTCTACCCAGTTGACGTCGTTGAGCTGAGCACCCACCCCTGTGTATGTGTAGATGTGTCGGTTGACATGGTCACATCCCGCCTGGTAGGACAGCCCGTCGATCCACCGCTTCGGTCTTTTACACGCGGCGACGTACTCCTCCCAGGTGGTCGGAATAGCCCCGTCTTCCTTCCCCTCCCCCAGGGGTGCGCGGGCCCAGTAGTGTTGGAAGAACTCCTGGTTGTTGCTGATACGTAGCGCAAGTTGCGCTCGTAGGGTCTTCGCCATTATCTCGAGCTTGGCGGGGTTCAGCGTGTTCTCCCGCGTGGCCTCGGCGACTCCCCCGAGCAAAGCCCAACCCGCAGCCAAACCCCGGCATCCGCAGTCGCCTCCGTTGGAACCTGGGTCGATGGCTTCGAACGGGTTTTTCCGCTTGGGCGGCGGCTTCGCGGCGGGCTTAGCCGCTGCCTTTGCTGCTGGCGCGGCCGCTGGGCCTGCAGTCCCTGGTAGCTCTGCCGGCGCAGCCGCTGCTTCACCCCGGGTTTTCTTGATCCTGTCACGGACTTGAGCGCATTCCGCCTCCCGTGCGGCTGTCCTCTTGGCCCTCTCAGTGGTCCGGGTCTCCTCCGCGAGGCCGTCGAGGTCCATGTCCTCCTGGTCGTACCGTTCTTGTCGTTTCTGTTCGTCGGTAATGTATTCGGCGTCCAAGTCCACGTCCATGTCGTGCACCCCAGGTACTGCCACGCCATCGGGTGCTGCGGGTGGGGCGGGCGGGTCGGCACACCACCGCCATCTTCGAGTCGACGTTGATTGTGTTGTCTGGCCTCCCGCGCCGCGCACGAAGCGTTGGATCTGGATGGCTTGGTCTTGTCCTCTGAGTGTGATAGCCCAGGCGTCGACGGTGGCGTCGCTTCCAGGGCGGCGTGGGTGGGCCCGTACAACCCATGGCCCGTTCCTACTCTGTGGCGGCGATTCAACCTCTACTTCTGTCCACCCGGCTGCTCCTAGCCAAGTTTTGAGTTCGTGGGCTGTCCATGTACGTGGGACGTGTAGGATCCGCCATGCCGCTGGTCGGGTCGTAACTGCCTGCGCGTCGTCCACGTCGATTCCCACCACACCAAGGTTGTTTCCTCCTCCACTCCGGAGGACTATTGTTGCATTGGTCGTTGAGGCCACCAGACCTTGTACACGGCGATAGTAGTCGAGGCTCGCGTCGTCGAACCGTTTAATCCAGCGGACTGGTGTGTCTGGGCCCGAGCGGTCCTTCGCAAGCACCCTGTAGAAGCGGCCGTAAGCTCCGGAAGCGGCGAGCACTGGGGCCAGCCCAGCCGCGGCGACCGTGAGGTACCCAATCAGGGCCACCAGTTTTCCTGCTTCGAGGACCTCAGAAAAGGCTTCCGCCGCCAGGATGGCGTCCTTATCGAGATCTCCAGTCGCCACGGCGCCGGGCCGCTGGCGGGCCGTCTTCCATTGCGCGTCTGTCATGAATTCCTTGACCATTGTCACACGTACCGTGGTCGTGGCACGTACAGCAGGCGGCTCAGGGCCTTCCACTTCGTGCTTCGGTGCGTCAGCCTTGGCCCCTTGAAGGCTGGTGCACTCCAGTTTCTTCATGCTCGGCCGGCCTCCTTTGACGACCGCTACCCACTGGGATGTGTCGTCGCCGTTAGCTGCCGTCGTTTGGTCGTTGTCAGGTGTGTCAGACACAATTACGGTCATGTTCTTCTGTACCCCGTGTACTTGGGCCAATTTTACCGCCTCCTGCTTCTGGACCGTGGTCAGCACTACAACGTCGCCGTCAGGTGCCCGGCCTTCTCGGAGAGCGTTTAGGACCTGCGTGGCCCCCGAGAACTGCTTGCCAGGGAAACGTCGTTCATCCACTTTCCACCTCTGGGTCGGAACCGGCTGGTTGGAACCAGTGTCTGGTGAGTGTTGACCTGTGGCTGTGCTCTGGTTGGCCGCATCTTTTCTCCATCGCCCTCTACGCGGCGGTGTGGTCGTGGGTGGTTGGGTCCTCCGAGCGGCGAGGAGCTCCTCTAGTCGGTCCAGGATTGTTTCGTCGCTGGTGTTCTTGGGTGCGTGTGCCACCGCTTGTTGCAGAATGGTCAGTAGGCTAGTGTTTGTGGTCGGTGCTGGTGGTGGTGGTGCTTGCGCCGGTGCTAGTCCCGGTGCGGCTGTCCGTGGCGGTGAACCTCGGGCTTTTGTTTGTGTTATTCTTCTTTGTTGGTGGTTTGTCACTGGCCAGGATTGCGGAGACGATGGATGCAATCTGCTTCTCTCTCCGCTGACGTGCGGTGGTTCGGCTGCCCCCTTGACCCGCGTCGCGCCTTGTCCCGGCACGAAAGTCGAGTTGTCCATCACACAGAGAGTACGATAGCCCGCCGGCGCCGGCCTCCTGAGGCCCCTGGTCAGATTTTGGTGACAGCTCGCTGTCGCCGGCCTCGTGAGGCCCCCGGTTAGAATTTGGTAAGGACCCGACCCACGGAAAGAGTAAATCCGGACGCACGGGTGCCTTGTGGTCGTACGGCGTCGTAGCGGCAGGATATGGCATAATTGTTCCGTCACAATCGGGAAATATACGGATATGCTTACCATGTCGGTCATCAGTCGTTCCTCTGAGAAGAACAGATGCATGCATCATCGATAGATCAGCGATGGCCTTGGCCTTGAAACCACCCCCCCCTTGGGCTGCCTCTGGTCATCGTTGCTGCGTCCCCGCCGTCGGCGCTGCTGGCGGCCGCCAGCGCTGGCGCCAGCGCCGGGGGGGGGGGGGATTTGAACCCCCCTCCCTGGGATGAGGTGGAGGGGAGTTCGGGAGGAGGGGCGGTTGGGGGGGAGGGGAGTCCCCCTGGTTTTGATCGACGGCGCCGAGTGTCGGGGGGGGGGCCCATCCCCCGGTTCGACACGCGCCGCCGAATGTTCCCAAGGCAAGCGCCCGTGAAACGCGTTCTCTCTTACATGTACATCTGCAGATACATATACATACAACTACACATACACAAACACACATGCATGTACACATACACATACACATCTCTATGCATATCTATAGGTATATGTGTATACATACATACATACACATACGCATACACGTACACAGACACAAACGCATACACTTACACACACACACACACACACACACACACACACACACACACACACATACATACACACATACACATATCTCTGTTCTCCAAATCGACTTGCCCTATAGAAGCTCTGACTCAAACCCTACTAATTGGTCCGTTGCCCCCCCTCCCAATAATTCCTACGCCCCCCCCCTAATTCCTATGGCTACACCTACGCCTATACCTATGCCTATGCCTATGCCTATGCCTATGCCTATGCCTATGTCTATGTCTATGCCTATGCCTATGCCTATGCCCCCTTGCGCTTACTTGCTTCCGCTTGCTTGCTTGCGCTTACTTGATGTTGTTCCTCCCGTCCTCCTCCCGTCCTGCTCCCGTCCTCCTTTCGTCCTCCTCCCATCCTCCCCTCCTGTCCTCCTAACTATTTGGAGTCAACGCTGGCTGATAGACATGTACAAAGACATAAGCATGTGCATAAACATAGACATGCACATTTAAGCACACCTATACCTAGACCTATCCCTATACAGATACGCACATACATGCATATACGTATACATATACATATACACAGGCATATCCGTAGACCCAAACTTGCACAGACTACACACATCCTTGTATAGTGTTATATATAGTGTTCCAGTTCAGTGTGTTGAAACGTTTCACGTTGCTGCAAAACGAGTCGTGCATGTGAACACGGGCACTGGCAATTCGAAGATCCCTGTCCGTCGGAAGACAGGCTTCCCTGGGCGTTGAACAAGCACACCGTGCCGACACACACCGCCTGCACCTCCCGTTTCTCCTGAATGGCTCCTGGGTTTCCTGATTGGCCGCGCCTTGATGTCGTCTGGCAGCTGGCCCGACAGCCTCCTCTCGGCCTCGGTCAGGTTGACGTCCTTGGCGGCCTCACCGACGACCTCGCCCGACCGTTCAGCTGTCAAACATCACTCGGCCCCCGACGTAGCTGCCCTCGTTCTCCAAAGCTGCCCCGCGTGAGATCCTACTCTGCTCCTGCCCATGCCTCCAGCCCACCGCTGCTCCTGATCTCGCCGCCCGTGCCAGAAATCCTATACAGCATTCGCCGGCCAGACGGGTCAAAGGCGCGTCAAGATCTCCAGTAAGAAGTTCCCAGTGCCTCTGTATTGCTACAGTCAAAAACCCTAATAAGGACGAGCGGTAAGGACGCAAGACCCTTGGAAGCCGAAGTTGGGATTTCTGGGGCGGCGGACGACGAAAACCCCAAGGACGCAAGAGCAAGGAAGAGCAAGGACGCAAGGGTATCCTGAGCAAAGTCGCGCGTCCTTAGTAGGGTTTTTGACTGTATTGCTAGGTCGCGCGCGCACGCGGGGCAGCCCCTGGGAGCTCATGGATGAAAAAAAACACCCCGGACTTCGCGCGCCGAGGCGGCTCAGAGATGGTGCTCGGCCTGGTCGCGGCCTTCCCCAAAAAAACCCAAGAGGAGCACTCGAGGAGCGCTCCCCGAGGCCTGCAGGAAGAGCCCGAGAGGGTCCGACACGGTCCAAGAGCGTTCCAATACGCTCGAGCTGGTTTATTCACGCTCGAGCTGGTTTCTTCACGGTCCAAGAGCGTTCCAATACGCTCCAAGAGCGCTCCCAGTGGGCTCCCAGGGAGGCCCCGAGAGGCCAGAATCACTCATACCCTTTTTAGGTGTTTGAGGAATTTCAGCGTTCTCGCCTTTTCGGCCTTCCAGCGCTCCCAGACGGCCAAGAAGCACCCAAGCTCCAAGTCAGCCCAAGAGGCTCCCAACAAGGCCCCGTAACGGCCCAAGAGGACCCCAAGACAGCCTAAGAAGCCCCCAAGAAGGCCCAAGAGAGCTCCAGAGGCCCCCAAGAGGGGCCCAAGAGGGGCCCAAGAGGAGAAACCCGGATTGAGATTTCGAGTCTTTCCCCGAAAGGTGGCCTCTGAGACTGCCAGACAGCCCCGAAGAGGCCTCCAGGGATCTCCAAGACCCCCCAAAAAAATCAAAAAAGGCCCGAAGAGGGCCTCCAGCGGGGTTGTTTTTGCACTCTACGTTCGCATGCACAGCCCGCCGACCTCCGAGTCCGAAAGGCACCAGGATGTTTAAAATGTGCAGCTGCTCTGCTCCCCGTGTCACCCTCCCTCCGCGCCCACAAGTCCACATGCGGGAAGCTTCATAGATCGCCCAACAAGACCCCACGGGGGGCCCGAGAAGCGGCACTGTACGGGACGAAAACGGCTCCAAGAGAGCCCTGACTCTGCATATTCGCTTCTTTCGTCTAAACAGCGTGCAAGACGGCTCCAAAAAAAACTGATCCAAGACGGCCCAAGAGACCCCCGAGAGAGCCCCAAGACGGCCCCAAAGAGCCACATGACGGCCCAAGAGGGCCCCATCCGGGCTGCAAGACAAGCCAAAGAGGGGTAACTTAAGCTGACAGTTCCAGCCCTCCGCCCCAAGAGGGCCCCTGAGACCACCAGCAGAAGCCCAAAAACCCCCCAAGAGGCCCCAGGAAGCCCGCGCCGACAACAAACAGGGCGCCAAAAAACAGAAGGGCGCCGAAAACCAACGATGCGCCGAAAACCAAAGGAGCGCCGAAAACCAAACGGGCGCCGCCAACCGAAAGAGTGCCAAAAACCAAAAGGGCGCCAACAACCCTCATGTCGCCGAGAACCAAAAGAGCGCCGAAAACCAAAGGGGCGCCGCCCTGAAAGCCAAAGGGGCGCCGAAACCAAAAGGGCGCCGAAAAGCGAAAAGTCACCAAAAACCGAAAGGACGCCGAAAACAAGAGGGGTGTCGACAACCAAAGTGGCGCCAAACTCTCAAACCGCGCCGACACCCGATCTGGGAACCGAAAACCAAACGAGCGCCGAAAACCACTGGCGCGCCGCAAACTAAAGGTGCGCCGCCAACCAAAAGGGCGTCAAAAACCAGAGCGGCGCCGAAAACCAACAGGGCGCCGAAAAGCAAAGGACCGCCGAAAACCAAAGGAGTGCCGAAAACCACAAAGGTGCAGAAAACCAAGCGAGCACCAAACACCAAAAGGGAACCGAAAACCAAAGGGCGCCGAACACTCAAAGGGGGCCGGTAACCAAAGGGGCGCCGAAAACCAAAAGGGCGCCGAAAACCAAAAAAGCGCCAAAAACAAAAAAGGAGCCGAAAACCATAACAGCACCGGAAGACGAAAGGGCACCGAAAACCAAAGGAGCACCGAAAAGCAAAAGTGCGCCGAAAATCAAGAGGGCGCCGAAAACCTAAAGGGACGCCGAAAACTGGAGGGGCGCCGCCATAAAAATCAAAGGGGCGCCGAAAACCGAAGGGGCGTCGACAACCAAAAGGGTACCCAAAACCAAAGGGAGGCTGAAAACCAAAGGCGCGCCAAAGATCCAAAGGGCGCCGAAAACGAAGAGGGCGCGCCGAAAACCAAGAGGGCGCCGAAAACCAAAGTGGCGCCGAGAACCAGAAGGAACATCGTCAGATCCATTCCTAAGACCCCCAACCCCAACACGCAAATCCAAAATGTTGCATCCGAACATCCTCATCCTCAGAGGTGGCAGGAGAGCGTCGCTTCAAGAGAGCGCGCACGCAGCGGCGGAGCAGGGGGGGGATCCCCCTTAGCTACCCCCCCCCCCCTCCTGGGCCTCGGGTAGGGGAGGCCCCACTCCCCCTCGCCCCCTGCTTGTCCGCCCTTCGGACGCTTCCCCCCCCTCCCCCCTTTTGCGCTCCGGAGGCCACCCCCCCTCCCTCCTCTCCAAAGGAAGAAGGGCTCAGCTACCCTTGTGGATGCCATGACAGTGGACCCTCTAACAATCCTATCATTGAGTTAACGATGTGTTCAAATGTGTAAAATATGCTCTAACAATGTTTCAAATATGCTTTGTACATGTCTAAAACATAATTGAAACATCCCTTAGACATCTGGAGATTATTTGGCAGCACGCTTCCTCTCCATTAATCGACTTCCACAAAGGTACCCCTGCCTGAAGCCTCCTCCCCATCTCCAACTTTCTTCCGCCCTGCGGAAGCTGCCCCCCCCCCTACCTCCATTTCGCGCTCGGGAGGCTACCCCCCCCCTCTCCCCCTTTCCGAAAACGGGCGGGGGGGCTTAGCTGCCCCCCTCCCGTTGGACCCCCGCTGCATGAAGCCCCGCCTCCTCCCTCCCTTCTGGCTAAAGAAAGGGGCGAAAAAATAACAAAAGTTCGGGGCGCCGAACCGAAAGGACGCCGAACGACCAAGGGGGCGCCGAAAACCAGAAGGGCACCGAAAACAGATAGAGCGCCGACAGCAGAAGGGGCGCCGAGAACCACAAGGGCGCCGAAAACCAGAGGAGAGCCGAAAACCGAAGGAGCGCCGAAACCCAAAGGAACGCCGAAACCCAAAGGGGCGCCGAAAGCCAAAGGGGCGCCGAAACCCAAAGGGGCACCGAAAACCAAAGGGGCACCGAAAATCAAAGGAGGCGCCGAAGACCCAAAGGGCGCCGAAAACGAAAAGGGTGCCGAATACCAAAAGGGCGCCGACAAACCAAAGGGCGCCGAAAACCAAAATGGGCACAGAAAACCAAAGAGGCGCCGAAAACCAGAAGGGCGCCGACGAACCAAAGA